CTCGTAAGTCGCTAATCGCTAACCAGGACTCGAACCGAACGTGTGACCCCACCAATGGATTCCTCGTTCGGAGAGCAATCCATTGGTGGGTTCTCACTTTCGGTACGAGTCCCGTTTAGCGACTCTGGAGCACAAAACGCGTCTAGACTTTTGGCCACCTCCACCGGTCTTCTGGCCCACTGTGTGGCGGTGTACTGCATTTACACGCCTGGCGCGGCGCCCTGTCGGCCAAACTTAGTTGAAGGAAGGTGTTGTCCTAATTGGTGCCCGGGCCAGGGAGGGCCTCGCCTTGGCTAGGGCCTTGCCAGGGTCTGCCCCTCTTCCCGCTCGATTTCCCGGTCCCAAAAACCGCGTAGCAGCAAAAACGAAAGGAAAATTTTCTTCCGACAGGCAATGAAACATTTTTAGCCCGTGGCGCCAGTCAAACTTTTATTTTCCTTGCGTTCTCGTTTCTTCTGTTCCTTTCGCCCCTTTGCTTTATACTTTCCTCGGTGTTTGCTCTCTTCACCCGCATTTCGAGTGGCGCTGTCTACTCATTACGTTCTAGACACACGGGCGGGGCGGGGTGGGGCGGGGTGGGGCAGGGAGGCGCGGGGTGGGGCGAGGTGGGCGGGGCGGGGTGCGGAGCAATTAAAAGTAAACACCGTCGATGCGCTTCCCGGCTGCGCTTTGCCGCTCCAGCCTCAATGAAGACACTCCAGTTCCAGCGACGGTCGCTGCGCGCAGGGAAGGAGGGCAGACGGGCGCACTAAGAGGAAAATCTGGTTCAAGTCAAGGTTGAGTTAGCCGCCAGACTGCCTGCCCGCGGTCCCCGGCCCGGCGAAATGGAAGGCTAGACTCTGCCGGCGGACTTCAGCAGTTTGCAGCTCGCTCTTCCAGTTGGCAGCCGATCACAAAGACTCACTGCGCGTTTTTAACACGTCCGCTTTGAAACGTGAATGGCGTTCTCTCCAAATTTCCCGCAACTGTGGTAACAAAACAAACAACAGTCCAGGATATGGGAGTGGGCTCTAACCCCACACCGGGAAGTGCGCAGGAACTCCTTAAGAGTGTCACCCAAGAGTGCGAGAGAGACAGTCAGCTTGCAAAGCGGGGAGCGGCGGGGAGCGCCTGCAGTGGAGGAGATAGGCAACGTGCCGTGCCGCTCTGTCTCGAACGGCCGCGCTGCCTACCCGCCCCCTGCGCCGCCGACCCCGCTCTGCAAACCGATTGCTGGAACCGTCCTCGTCGCTCTGTCTCTCTCGCACCTTCACGGGATGTCCCATCACGAGTTCCATGAGTCTGTCTGCAGCCTGGTAATGAAGAGACTGCCGGGATTTCACAGTGCTGCTCGCTCGTCCAGTGCTTCGTCGCTCATCTGTCTCTCTTGCACCTATAACGGGGCGCCCCGAACGAGAGAGAGAGAGAGAGAGCCAGAGAGAGAGAGAGAGAGGGAGAGAGAGGGAGAGAGAGAGAAGGGGGGGGGACAGAGTGACGAAAGGCCCGTTTTGAATCGGTCCGCTGGCGCGCGGCGCTATGCAGCAGACTGATATCGAGGAGTCCTCTTCGTCGCTCTGTCTCTCTCGCACTCACCGGGCGTCCCGTATAGGTGCGGGAGAGACAGAGCGTCGAAAGCGACTCTCGGAATCGGTCTGCAGGAGAGGCGAGTGCAGCGGCCCGTTATGGGAAGGGCACACAGCAGCAGCCCTCCGCCGCCGCGGAGCCTCGACGGCCGGAATCGCTAAATTATTCACCGGCAAACTGTTTTCTGCATCACTGTTTCATGCCGCTCGGAGGCGACACAGTGTTGCCACATAAGCGGACGAAAAAATCCCACGATGCACTGCCCATCTCCAAAGGGTCGCCGACCCCAGTCTGCCGACCAGGCTGTGACTTCACTTTGCTCTTCGGAATGTTGTCGCTTTGCATTTTTAGCAAGGTGAGGTTGGCGACCCTTTTCACACATGCATCGTGGGATTTTTTTTTTGCCATCGTTGGCAACACTGCGCGTCGTGGCGCGGGGCTTCGCGGGGCTGCACGTCGCGGTGGCGGGGTTGCACGCGGCCCCTGCGAAACGAGCGGTTAACCACACGGCACGCCGACGACGGTACCCCCCCCCCCCCCCCCGGGTGGTTCACTAGCCCTTACCTTACACAGCCCCTCCCCCTCCGCTCGGCGTGCGCGCGGCGCTACCCCGTGCCAGCGCACAGTGGGCCAGAAGACCGGTCAACGCGGTCAAAGTCCCAGACGCGTTTTGAGCTCCAGAGTCGCTAAATGGGACTCGAACCGAACGTGTCAGCCCGGACGTGTCAAATTAAAAACGACCGGAAATGGAATTTCGGACACAACTCGTCTGATGCCCGACGTCGCTAAGATCCGCCATTCCAGAGGCATTGCCACCACAACGGATTATTGTTTTCGCGAGGCTTGCGCCCCCGCGGTTTCAGCCGTGGGCCAGGGGGGCACGGGGTTGACAGGCCTGTCGTTTTGCATGCGCCGCGTGAAGCCAGCGGCGGCACGCACGAATTGAGATAGAGAGAGAGAGAGAGAGAGAGAGAGAGAGAGAGAGAGAGAGAGAGAGAGAGAGAGAGAGAGAGAGAGAGAGAGAGAGAGAGAGAGAGAGAGAGAGAGAGAGAGAGGAAAGGGCTCAACGCGAACGTGACAGCAGCGGAAACAGGATCAGCGCACATATGGGACTGTGACTGTACTCGCCCCCCCTCCCCCGCCCAGCCGGCAACAAGCAGAGCGCGGGGTTGCAAGTGCACTGAGCGGGGAAAGAGGGGAGGGGGGAGCAGGAGGAGGGGGAGGAGTTGCATCGCGGTTTTGCCTAGATTCCGTGCGACGGCGGCAAAACAAAGACTCCACCGCCCCAGCGTGCATCCGAGCCAACAACGACGATGAAAAATCGCTGTGGCGATTCGAGAACGAGTTAGCAGTGGCGTGGCAACGCGGTTAAATGACGAAATAAAAAGACGGGGAAAGGCGAGGGAAAGCCATGAAAACGAGAAAACGACCTCGTTCCGTTTATCCCGTTTTTTTTGTTCCTTTTTGGGTTGTTTTGTTTTCAGTTCCTTTCGCTTTATTCGTGAATCGGTCCACAACAGAAACGCGACACGGGCCACGCGCTGTCGGTCGGTCTCTGTGATTTGAATAAACGGCCTGACGACGGCAAACAAACACACAAACAAACAAGGTCGGAGTTTTAAAGGGAGGGCAGCAGGCCTCCCCCCCCCCCCTCTTTGGCTCCTAGACATCCACCTCTGAAAGGTAGGCAAAAGGCAAAAGCGTTACCCCTGGAACTGGGCAGAAGGTGCTACTTTGTCCCTCCCTCAGGCCAATCTGACCTGGTAAACAAATAAATAAACAAAAGACACTCTCAGTTTTTTACCGACTATTTCTCATTAGCAGGCGCATTTCTGTAAGCAACCATAATACTTAGTATTTTTTGTCAGTATTACCTAGCAATTGCTTAAGTATTATGGTTGCTAACAGAAATGAGTCTGCTGATGAGAAAATAGTCAGTAAACGGCTGAAAGTGGACGAACAATAATAAAACAAAAAACAAACGTCCTTGCGTATCGCCTCGGCATTTCAAGACCCCGCCGATTAGTGGTGCGCCACGCGGCCGCGGTCGATAACCGCATTGGTCCGCGTCTCGTTTCCGGTTTTAGTCCGCGCGTTTCCGGCGCCGCCAATGACTTCCGGCTCGCGCGCGTCCCTCCGGCCTTCCTCTCCTCCGGCCTTCCTCTCCTCCGGTCTTCCTCTCCTCCGGCCTTCCTCTCCTCCGGCCTTCCTCTCCTCCGGCCTTCCTCTCCTCCGGCCTTCCTCTCCTCCGGCCTTCCTCTCCTCCGGCCTTCCTCTCCTCCGGCCTTCCTCTCCTCCGGCCTTCCTCTCCTCCGGCCTTCCTCTCCTCCGGCCTTCCTCTCCTCCGGCCTTCCTCTCCTCCGGCCTTCCTCTCCTCCGGCCTCCCTCTCCTCCGGCCTTCCTCTCCTCCGGCCTTCCTCTGGCGTCCCCCCTAGTCTCCCAATGAGCCGTTTGGCTGCTCTGGAACGCCCAGTCGCTCTAATTCTCCCCCCCCCCCTCGCTCTCCGTCGTCGGGGCGCTGGCGTCCACCCTTCTGGCGAGCAGATCGCGACCCTGCAGACTGATTCCGAGAGTCGCTCTGTCTCTCTCGCACCTGTGCGCGACACCGTGAGTGCGAGAGAGACAGAGCGACGATAGCCCCTCGGAATCAGCTCACTGGCCGCCTGCTTTAGCCCGGACTAGTCGGGGCAGCAGGGTGATTCCGCGCAGCGTCGCTCTGTCTCTCTCGCACTCGCGGGGCGTCCCGTATCGGTGCGAGAGAGATAGAGCGACTGCCGCGGAGTGCGCGGGCCGGCCTTCCAGGCTTCAAGTACCCCAGATAAGAGCTGGCTCCCCGCCAGCGGGTCAAGCAGAGGGGGCGCGAGGGGCGGGGGAGGGGGAAGGGGTGCCAAGTGCAGACGGGGGGGGGGGGGTGTTTTTGTGCCCAGGGCCAGCCAGCCAGCAGGTGGGAACTCGACACGGTGGCCGCGCCAAGGCGATGCTGGGCCAGCTGGAGCCGCGGGGCTGGCGAGGCGACGGCTGGCGACGGCGTTGGCACGGCCGCGGGGTTCTTCTTCTGCTTCGCCTGTCTCTCTCGCACTCGTGGGGCGTCCCGCACGTGTGCGAGGGAGACAGAGTAGCGGGCTGATGCCGAGAGTCACTTTCGTCGCTCTGTCACTCTCCCACCTACCGGGGACGCCCCATGAGTGCGAGAGAGACGGAGCGACGAAAACGACTCTCGGAATGGGTCTGCTGGTCGGCCGGCTCACTGCTGGTGTGCACGCCAGCAAGCAGGCTGCTTCCTTTAACAGTGCCCCGGTCGCTCCGTCTCGCTCGCTCGCAGGGCGTCGCAGTAGGGTGGGAGAGAGACGAAGCGGCGAGGCCACTGCTCGGAGTGGAGCTGCAGGGGCCTGGGCCTGGCGGCGCGGGGCTGGGGTCACAAAGAAAGGGTCACTCACTCCAGTTTCCAACTTGATTATATTCGGAAAAGAGAAAAAGAAACGAAAAGTGGAGAGAAGGGTTGGCGGCCGCGCGAAGGCCGCGGTCGCTGGAGGCGAGGCCGGCGAGGCTGCAGTCACGTCGCGGGGCCGTTTTCGTCGCTCCGTCTCTCTCGCACTCACGGGGCGTCCCGTCTGGGTGCGAGAGGGACAGCGCGACGACAACGACTCTCAGTCTGCAGGCGACGTCGGCGAGGGTGCGGCGAGCGTCTGGCGGAGTCTGGACGGTCGGGTCTGCTTGGCGGCGCTTCACAGCCCCTTCATCCGGCGCTCCAGGTCCCGAATCCGCGCCGCGAGCGCCAGCGAGAACCAGATGCCCAGGGTCTGAGCAGGAACACCCCCATTCGGTGATTAGTCCCCCTCTGCTAGTGCACTGGCAAAGCTGCGCTTGAAAATTTAATTGTGTACTGTACTGGAGTACACGGTTACATTTTCGATGCGTGCACAGTCGCGGTCAAAAGACCGGTGGAGGTGGCAAAACTTCTGACCTCCAGCTTCGCTAAAAAGGACTCGAACCGAACGTGTGACCCCACCAATGGACTCCTCGCTCGGAGAGCAATCCATTGGTGGGGTCACACGTGCGGTTCGAGTCCCATTTAGCGACTCCGGAGCTCAAAACGCGTCTAGATTTGTGGCCGCCTCCACCGGTCTTCTGGCCCACTGACCTGCAGCAGGGCGATGGCGAGGCCGACGGTGCCGAACGCGATGCCGTACTTCTTGACGAAGTCGACGAAGGCGCTGCGGCAGCCCACGTTGAAGAGGCGCGCGTCGTCGCGCGTGCACTTGTCCAGCAGCACGCCGTCGCAGCAGCTGGTGGGCAGCAGGTCGCTGCCGTTGCTGCGGTACCAGAAGGACGGGCTGTTGTAGCCGCAGCAGTGGAACTGCAAAGATAATACACTGATAAAAAAAAACCCTTTGGAAATTCCCGGAGGATTTGATTGGCAATTTAAAAAAATACCACCGATCTCGACTTTTAAACTTGCAACAAGTTTCATCAAGTGGGTTCCAAAATTTTTTTTTTGAAACACGAAGCCTCCGGAAATTTCCGAATAAGCATCCTTTGCTCACTTGTTCTCTTTCTGTTCATTTTTCGTGCAGTACCCAAACAGCAGCAAATTTTCGTTTTCGAGAGTGGGGCGTGGGGCAGCGTTTGCGAGCGTTTGTCGCCGAATTCTTGACGCTCACATAACCTAAACTTTACTTGACTCACTTTGCTCTGAATGCTGGCCACGGTGTAGCCGAACAAGGGGTCGCCCATCTTGGCGTGCAGGAACATCCTGTCGATGGTCTGGTCCGCGAAGTCCGAGTAAGCGATGAGCACGCCGCAGGCGATGATCTGGGAGACGATGACGGCCAGCAGGCACGCCGCGTACTGCCGGGACAACAAAATTAGGCAAAAAATAAAGAAATGAAAAAACAAAAAGCTGCCCACTAGTTGGATTTGACGTGTTTTGAACTAGAACTTAGAAATTAGCTAAGTCACGTTGAAACGAATGTAACACAATGCTCAAAGGAACATAATGCATTCACTCTAAAAGTCTTATGGTGACGATTCTCCATATTATGGTGAAAATTCTTCATATAATGGTGGTGCAGCTGACTTCGTAACCTACAGTTTAAAATTCATTGTACCTTACAGATATTCTGTCGAATTTCTTTTGTAATTTGGAGAAAATCTCCACCATAATATGTTGGTGCAGCCTTTCACCGTAAGACATTGTTGTCACATTCGTTTGGACGTGTTCCTGGAAGAGACGCACCGCTATGAGAATTCGGCTGTTCTCCCGGATGGCGCCGAGGCATCCCAGGGAGGCGATGAAGAAGGTGAGGAAGCCGATGGTGGAGATGACGCCCAGGGTCCAGCCTAGGTCGCCCACGTTCCTGGCGTCAGTGGCCAGCAGGGAGGCCGCCAGGGCCATGCCGACCAGCCCACACAGCTGTGCAGGAGAAGGCGCCAACGTCAACGAGGGCACACTGTAGGGTCTCGTCTTCGCATTGCGAAAGCGATGCCCCGCGGACTGTTGACCGCGCGCACTGCACGGCGTCACTCACAGCGATGGCGAAGTTGGCCACGAACAGGAGGTACTTGATGGTGCCATTGTGGCAGTTGAGCCCCGTCTCGGTCGGCATGCTCGTCTGCCCGGGCGGCCCTCGACTGCGGGCCTGGGCCGTCGCCTGGCCGTCGTCTCGGCACGGCGACCCCCCAGAAAGGCCGGCCCTGGATCCGCCCCCACACTGCCGGGACTAGATCCTTCTGGCACTCCTTATCGGAATCCACTATCAGGTCTCGCCGGCCGACGCACGACGCCGGCGTGCTGGGTTCGCGTGATCGGCTCGGCGCTTCCTTCTGACTGGGATTCACTGAGATCATTCGTCTGGGAAAGCAGACTCCTTGACTACGCGGTTCAAGCCGTTTGAGATAAATCCGGCGCGTGTCGGGCAGTGCCGAGGGGGTAACGACTTCGGGAATCCGGCTGACAGCAAATTGGTAATCCGTAATCCGGATAACCCAAAATTTTGAGGTAATCCGGGGTAATCCGGGAAAATTTTGAGGTAATCCGGGGTAATCCTGCAAAATCCAAAGGTAATCCAGGAATTTTTTGTTGTAATCCGGAGGTAATTTGGGGGTAATCAGGGGTAATCCGAGGTAATCCGTAATCCGGCTGACACGAAATTTACCAGTCGTTACCCCCTCGGGCAGTGCACCCAAAAAAATGACTTCTTGGATCAAGAAAAAAATTTCTTGGTTTTTGCAAGAAAATTTTTCTTAATCCAATTTTTTTCTTGAATAAACAAAATTTTTCTTGTGTCAAGATTATTTTTTTTACAAAAACCAAGAAAATCAAAAATCAAGAAACCATTTCTTTGGGTGTGGCTCGGTGCGAATTATTTTTTAGCAGAAGACGACAACAAGAGTACACCGAGCACGCTGCGTGCGACCAGTTTGTCGAAGTTGTTGTTGTTGTTGCTGATCGAGTTTGTTGTCGTTTGTTGCAGGGCGCCACGTGATGCCGGATGGCGGAGGGAGACGAGTTCGCTGAGCTCGCCGAGACCAACTTGAACCACCACCACCTGCACCAGTATGGCGGCCACGGCGGCCACGGCGGCCACGGCGGCCACGGCGCGCGCGGCGTGCACGGCGTGCCGCAGATGCATCGTCGCGGCGCGGGCCCCGGCGGCTCGGGGGGCTGGGGCCACGGACTGGGCCACGGACTGGGGCCCCAGGGCACGAGCTACGAGGCGGAGGACGCCATGCGCGCGTCCAACCGCCACGGCGGCGCCGGTGGCGGCCACGGGGGGCGCGGCGTGGGCGTGGGCTCGGGGGCCTTCTACTCGCCGCCGGGCACGTCCTACACCATAGTGGAGCGCCCCTCCAGCGCCCCCCGCGGCACCTACCTGGGCGGCCAGGGCCAGGGCGGCCATGGCGGCCACGGCGGCCAGGGCGGCCAGGGCGGCGGGGGCTCCACCAGCCCGCCCACCGGCAGGCATGCCGCCCACCAGGCCCACCACAACAAGAAGCGGCCCCTCTCGCCCGAGGAGGTAAGTGCGGAACCCAGGCTGGACCGCCGTCGTGCGATGGGATCTCTGCCATCGGCCGCGTCCAATCATGCAAACGCACCTACACTCTAAACATAGGGTGCCCAGAAACTGGGCGCCTTTGTCGCCCGGGCGATTTTTCACGATTTTTCAGACATTTGTGACCGTTTTGATCAACTTTGCGGCAATACTGCTCCCAAACTAAGGCAGATAATCGCACTCCGTAAGAAAGGCATGCTAAAGGAAGGTCCAAAGTCCAATTGCCCGTTGAGGGAGGACGAAATACCGCCTCGAATCAGACGCAGTGAATGCTTAAAGTCAGCCCAAAACACGATTTTTCGCAGACATTTGTGACCGTTTTGATCAACTTCGACTTTCGACACCCGTCCACTTGCATCCCACAAATCAACTCCCAAGTGGACTGAGACAACGGCTTGATGATTGTCGAGCTTCGCGTGCGCGCCGAAGACCGCGCCGACCGCGGCGCGCTGCTCGGTTACAAAACCGGGGCGGCGCCGGCAGCCCAGCCCCGCCCCCAAAAAAGAGACAAATGGTGCAGTGGGGCTGAGGGTAAGGCTGAGGGGGCCTGTAGCCCGATTCCGAGAGTCGTTTTCGTCGCTCTGTCTCTCTCGCACACGTGGGGCGTCCCCTGCAGGTGCGAGAGAGACAGAGCGACGACTCAGTCCTGCTGGGCGCTGCCAGGCGCTGCCAGGCGCTGCTGACCGTGGCGTGATTGCAGGTGCTCAAGTTGATGGGCGTGGGCGTGGGCGCGGGCGGCAAGTCCAGGGACGCGCCGGCCAGCGACCCGCCGCGCCGACGGCCGCCCCCCGCCGCCAGCCCGCCGCTCTCCGAGCTGCCCGTGCGCACCGTGACCATGGTGCGCGCCAACGACGCGCCGCCGCAGCCCCACCACGGCCCCGGGCACGGCTTCGGCATATGCGTCAAGGGAGGCGCCAAGGACACTGGTGAGGCTCGCCAAACCAGCAGTGCACCGCCTCAGTGGGCCAGAGGACCGCGGCCGGACGCGTTTTCAGCTCCAGAGTCTCTAAATGGGTCTCGAACAGAACGTGTGACCCCACCAATGGATTGCTCTCCGAACGAGGAATCCATCGGTGGGGTCAGACGCTCGGTTCGAGTCCTGTTTAGCGACTCTGGAGTTCAAAACGTGTCTGGAGTTTTGGTCGCCCACTGTGCGTGCGCCACCGTCGTTGCACCCGGCCGGAAGGCTCCGCTCTGCTCTCCGGGCAATGACCACTGTCTTTCTCGTCCGCATGGCATCGCAGCCATCGACTGGGACCGGAGGGACGGCAGGTCCGACCCCACCACCCCGTTCCGCTTCCCTTCGCCAGGTGAGTGTGCGTGTGTGGAAGAGGAAGAAGCACCAACCCTTCACACAATTGGAACACATTCAGGTGGCTAAAACGCCTGTAAGCAGGCAACACGTGTGCCAGATACGTCGGATATCTTGCACATTCAAGCACCTTCCCACACTTACAGCAAATTTTACGGCGGGTCAACTCCCGGCGCGAGATGTCTGCTTTGCCTGCCTCAGTTTGAATGGAGTCTGTGCGTGTGAGGGAGGGAGGGGGGGGGGGATAGGTGTGTGTGTGTGCGTGTGCATGTCCGTGTGAGTGTGATTTAATTCTGTCGATGCCCCGACTCGGCGTCCCCGTGCCCCCTTTGGTCCCCCCAGCCCCAGGGGGGAAACAATACCCCAGCGGGAGGTGGCTTGGGGCTGGCCCATGGGCTGGCCGGCCCGGCCCGCCTCACCGACACCTCGGCTAGGTTCCGCTCCACCCTAAATCGACTCAATTTATCTGTTTGGCCTTCCCACTGCCCCGCCGGCCCTGCCGGCCCTGCCGGCCCTGCCACCGGGTCCACAACCCCCGTCCACGCCCCGCCTCCCCCTTCGGAGCGAGCGGGGCCGGGGCGCCGCACCAAGCAATATGACATGAGCGTGCCTCATTACTGGTAACGAGGTTGTTGAAGGCCGTGAAGGCCAATAACCCAGGGGCGGGTCCAGATACCGGTTCAGAGAATGGGGGGTGAGGGGTGTCACAAATGTTGCCTACCCACAGGAGCAGAGTGTGACTTGTTGCCTTGCAGATGCTCCTCCATTCTCTCGCTGTCTCGCTCTCTCCGCCTCCTCCCCACCTCCTCCCCGCTCCTCTCTCTCTCTCTCTCTCTCTCTCTCCTCTCTCTCTCTCTCTCTCTCTCTCTCTCTCTCTCTCTCTCTCTCTCTCTCTCTCTCTCTCTCTCTCTCTCTCTCTCTCTCTCTCTCTCTCTCTCTCTCTCTCTCTCCCTCCCTCCCCAGGTCCGCGCCTGCACTAACCCACGCGTTCTTCCCCGCAGGCTCCAGCACGGGCGTCTACATCTCCCGGGTGGAGGAGGGCAGCGTGGCCCAGCGCGCGGGGCTGCGGCCTGGTGACGTCATCCTGGAGGTGAACGGGACGCCCTTCAGCGGGCTGTCGCACGAGGACGCGCTCAAGGTCAGTGCACGAGTCAGCTGTGACGTTCATTCTGGTGCTGAGAATATACTGGTCAAAGTAAGGCGGAAAACTTACGCCCGTCACGAAGTGTACACACATCCCTTTGTATCACGAAGAACATTGTTCGTTTTCAAGTGTGCTGACGGCCCCCTCGTGTTGCAGATGCTCAAGTCGTGCCGCAAGATGACGATGACGGTGCGCGCCGCCCCCGCGCCGCCCCCGTCCCAGTCGGGCCACCACCCCTCGCTGGCGGCGCAGGCGGCGTGGGCGGCGCGGCAAGCCTACAGCTGGATGGACCGCTCCGGCCGACCCGTCTCGCCGCCGCCGCCACTGCCGTCGCCGCACTCGCCCAGCCGCTGGGCCCACGCCAGGACCAGGAAGGTGAGGAGCGGAGCGGGGCCGACGAATACGATTGTACCAGCCCGTGTTTAGGAAAGGCGACAACAGCGTAAAATTTAATCGCCGATGTGAATCAGTTTCCAACGTCCTCCGCGACGCACGGACGCCAGCTTGTCCACACCGCCGATCGACCTCAGAAAGTAAAAAGACAGCCGAGCCGAAGGATTGGAAAAGGGAAGTGAGGCGGCGTCAGGTCAAGTTCACCGGCCGGCGCCCTCCGAGCCACGGCGCGCCACGGCGCCGCGTGCAACCCACGGCGATCGGCGGGATTGATCCGGCCAAAAGAATAATCAATGTTTTACGGAAGCGAAAGGAGCCGAGCCGCCAGCGACAGAGGACCCCTCCCGCCGCCGCCACCCCGCGCGTGCACTGCAAAAAAATAAAATAAAATGGAAGAACCGCAGAGAAAGAAGAGAGACCCGGCGGCGGCACAACGGAATCGCCGAATGGGAAGCAGAGCGCAATCTGCTCGAAACAAAAACAAAACCATCATTCACGCACCGATCCATCCGTTTGCATCGAGCCGCCACATCGCTGCTGTTGTTGTTGTTTCCCCGTGTGTGTGTGTGTGTGTGTGTGTGTGTGTGTGTGTGTGTGTGTGTGTGTGTGTGTGTGTGTGTCACTGCACGCGAAGGGCCCAAGCCCCGGCGGCCGGCGGGCGACAGCAGGGCGCCGCGCTCGCCGGCCGGACTGCAGGGCCGGCCTGGGCAGAGCCACATTCGTATGATGAACCGATATATCGACCGCCTGGCGGCCACTGGCGGCAGGGCAGGGCAGGGCAGGGCAGGGCGGCAGCCTAGCCGGCCTAGGCGGCCTGGGTCATGGCGGGGCGCGGCGGGGCGCGGCGGGGCGCCTGTCCCTGGAGTCGAGTCGCCCCCGCGGTCGCCGGCCGACGCCAGCCGACGCCAGCACGCATCCTCTTCTTCGTGGGCTGGCTGGCCGCTGCAGTCTGATGCCGAGGGTCGTTTTTCGTCGCTCTGTCTCTCTCGCACTCGAGGGGCGTCTCGTGTCGACGACTCTCGGAATCCGTCTGCTCGCCGGCCGCTGGCCCCACTGGCCCCGCTGGCCGCGGCGGACGGGGCGCCAGCCCTGTAGGCCGCCATCGCGGAGGCCGGTCACCGACGGCCAGTGTGCCAGCGGCCCAGTCACGCGCCGGACGACGCCGCGGCCGGACGGGCGCCGCGCCCACGCTGTGCCGCCCGCTGTGTCACGACCCCGTCACGTGGGGGCGTCGCGCGCCGTGTGACGAGTGCGTGACGAGAGCGTCACGAGCGTGTGACGAGAACGTGACGAGCGCGCAACGAGTGTGTCACAAGTGCGTCACGAGTGCGTCACGAGTACGTGATGAGCGCGTCACAAGACCGTCACGAGTCCGTCAGTTCAGTAACGTTTGACGAGTACGTGATGAGCGAGCGACGAGTACGTCACGAACGTGTGACGAGGACGTGACGAGGACGTGACGAGGGCTGCGACGCGAAGACATGCGGACAGAGTGAAAGCGACTCGAAGCGACGACCACCGGCCTCAAGATGATGTCCACGTTCGGACAGAAGACCTCGACGCATCCGCTGGCGGGCACGGCCTACCACAAGCTGACGGAGCGCGCCAGGCTGAAGCGGGAGCGCGTCAAGCAGGAGAACGCGGTGAGGTGGCACACTGGAGGTGGCACACTGGAGGTGGCACACTGGAGGTTGAGGATCGGGGATCGCGGGGGCACGCTCGGGTAGCCTTGGCCTTGGCGGAGTCGCCTCACAAGAGCGGCTCCAGGCCCCTCCCCGCCGTCACACGAGAAGGCCTCGAGTGGGCTTGGACCGGGCCGGGCCGGGCCGGGGAGCTTGGAGCGCCTTCGGCCTGGGCCTTCGGCCTGGGTCTTCGGCCTGGCCGGCCCGTCGAACAGCTGTGGGCGGCGGGACTGCCTACCTGGCAGGCGCTCCCAGCGGCCGGGCCGAGGGCCGGGCCGCTGCCTCACGGTGGGTCAGAGGACCGGTAGGCGGTGAAAATCCCGCGCGCGTTCGAGATCCAGAGTCGCTAAATGGGACACCAACTGAACCTGTGACCCCAACAAATGGATTGCTCTGCGAAACGAGGAATCCATTGGTGGGGTCACACGTTTGGTTCGAGTCCTGTTAAGCGACTCTAGAGCTCAAAACGCGTTTAGAGTTTCTGTCCTCTGGCCCACTGTGAGCCTTTCTCGTCGCACGAACCGTGTGGCGAGTCCGACAGTCCGACCCTCCGCGGCTATCGGCCTCAAAACAAAGCACGCTCCCGAAACGAAAACAACATCCGCCGTTTTTCGTAGGCCCCCGCCTGGCCGCGAACCCGCGTCGGCATGTTCGGCTTTCGGCCGCTGGAAGAGACGTCGCTGAGCTCGCCCTCGCCGGAGGCCGCCACCAGCGCCACCAGCTCGACGAGCTGCGCGGTGGGCAGCATGGCGGTGCCGCTGGAGGAGCGGCGGCGCGGCGCCGAGCTGCGGCACGAGTTGCGGCGCGAACCGCGGCCCGAGCCGCGCCACGGCCAGCCCGCCGGCGAACCGCGCTTCGAACCCACCTACGAGGACATCCACGAGGCCTTCGGGCTGTACGAGCTGCAGGCCATTCAGGGACACCGCGGACGGCGCAGGCACAGGGTAAAGCGTGTGTGCGTGTGCCTCTCTGTGCCGGTCGCTCGGCTGTCTCAGTGTGTGTGCAAAGCGCGTCTGTCTACCTGTTTGTCTGTCTGTCTGTATGTCTGTATGTCTGTCTGTCTGCCGGCCTGGCTGCCAGCCCGCGCTTGTCTATGTAATATCCGGATTGTGTTTTCTGTGTGTGTTTGAGTTTGTTTCTTTTGTCGGACTGTGTGGCGTCCATCCGTCTGACTTTGTCTGTCTTGTCTGTCTGTGTGTCTGTCTTTGTGTCTGTCTGTCTAAGTGTCTGTCTTTGTGTCAGTCTGTCTGTCTGTCCGTCTGTCTATCTGTCTGTCCGTCTGTCTGTCGCCCGCCGGTCGCTGGGTCTGTCTGTGTGTAAGGAGAACGAGAGGGCAAGAATAAAGGGATGTCGGGGGTGGTTTTAAAGTTTTATGCGATCGTGCTTGGGCAGCCCCGCCCCGCCCCGCCTCGTCCACCTCGCCCCACCCCACCCCGCCACGCCCCGCCACACAGGACAAAGGTCACGAAGACGGTGCGGCCACGCACAGAGCACCGCAGCCTCTACTGCTTTACTTTGTGGCAAAGTTTGCTTGTGTGTTATTGCTTTGGGAGATTTTGGGTTACAGCAGGTGTTTTTTACGTTTTTCTTCGCTTTTTTTTTCACTTTTACCCTTCTTGAACCCCACTTGAAACGCTGGCCCGTATTTTGTCTGCAGGTGGACCTGAGCATCGAACCGGGGCAGAGCCTGGGGCTCATGATCCGGGGCGGCATCGAGTACAACCTGGGCGTGTTCATCACGGGCGTGGACAAGGACTCGGTCGCGGACAGAGCGGGACTCATGGTAATCCACCTGTTATTTCGAAAAAAAAAAAAAACTTTAAGATTTTTCTAAGAAAACTTTGTCCACACAAAGAATTTTGTGTCAACATATTTTGGTGCCATTTTGCTTTTGTCACCCTATATGAAGCCTGTTCTTACCTTACTTTGAGATGCCTACAAAAAAATGGCACAAAAATTGCACAAAAATTTTTGTGCCAACATATTATGGAGTCATTTTGCCTTTGTCACCATATATGAAGCCTCTTCGCACCTTGCAAAAGAAAATCCAATGAAGGTTCGTAATATTTAGTTTCACTGGAACACTGCTGTCCAATCCACTAGAAGAAAATTTCAGTTCACAAAAAAAACTAAAACACGTAAAATCAGAAGATTTTTTTTAATAACTCGGCTTGCGAGGGTGTCGCGACGGTTCCAAGGCGGAGGCGGCCGCAGTGCTGCGTCGTGGGGCGGGAAACCGTCCAGCCTCGACACAAAGCGGTGAAATACGGCCGCTCTTATCCGCGCGGGGAAGACCACCGCCACTACCACCCTGAAAAAAAAGAACAAAGAAAAAACACTGACAATAATTTAAATTTTTTTTCAAACGGCCATGCCATTTTGAAAATTTTTTGAATGAGCTAGCTTGTTTTTTTTTTTTTTTTTTGCTCGGCAGATCGGCGACCAGATCCTGGAGGTGAACGGGCAGTCCTTCCTGGACGTGACGCACGACGAGGCGGTGACGCAGCTCAAGCTGCACAAGAGGATGACGCTCACCGTGAGGGACGTCGGCAAGGTGCCGCACTCCTGCACCGACCCGCCGCCCCGACCGTGGGACAGCCCAGGGTCAGTGTCGCGCAGCCTAGCGCAGCGTCAGCACACTAAATGTTTTTGTACAAATTTTATACGAGACATCACAGTAAATGCATCATTTTATGAAAATTTGGTCACAATTTTATGCAGAAAACGTTACACAGGTTTGAAATCATGCATCACCACGTACAAAATTGTACCTAAACATTTAGCGTGTTGTGTCACATTCGTTTCGGGCACAAATTAGCTTACTCTTTTTCAAATGAATGTGACACAATGCTCAAAGGAGCGTGACACTCTGTCACGCTCGTTTCGACGTGACGTCACGGTCCTGCTCTGTGAAAATTTGAGTCGTCTTTGTTGACTTGTGGGAAGTAACGAGGTTGGACGCGGCGGTGCGTTCAGCAGGGGTTTCCTGGGCGGGTCGGGACGCTCCCCGGCGCTCCAGATGGTGGAGGAGAAGGCCCGCGTCGTGCTGTCCAAGAGCGAGTTCGCCACGCTCGCCTACTACCAGGAGGAGTACGCCGGCGGACAGATGACCATCGAGGCCTTCGTGGCCGTGCTGCTGGAGCTGCTAAACACGCCGGAGAAGGTGAGCGGAGGGAAAAACTTTGCGCAGTGTCACTGTGTTGTCGCGAGTGTGCATGTGTGTGTGTGTGTGTGTGTGTGTGTGTGTGTGTGCTGCTCGTTGGCGCGGCGCCGCTCTCGCACGCCCTCATTCACCTGAGTGCCCGATCGCCCGCAATAATTCACCGCGACCTGCAGGCTGCCTTCCGAACGGCGCCCTTGTCTCTCTCGCACTCGTGGCCGCGGCGTCCCGTAGAGAGCGTGCGAGAGAGACGGAGACAGAGTTCGGAACGGCCCCCTGCTGCGCGGCAACAACCCTGAAACGGGCCGTGCTGAAGGGCCGGACCAGCTTGCACGCCTTCGTGGGCGGGAGGGGTCGCTACCCCTCGCTCGCCGCGGCCGCGGTCTCTGGGGCGCGGGGTAGGTCCACGCGACGCGCGGGGTCTCTCGCGAAGGGATGCAAATGCACCGACGTGACAAGCGGCTGCAGAGTGACACCGTGCGACACGGGATTGAGGTTTGACCCTTGGTTTCTCGGGGGGGTTGAACCCAACGTCCTGCACGACCCACCGAAGTGGCCTCGGCAGATGGCCTGCTGCAGCCGGGCTGCGTTCTTCGGAACCATTCGTCGGGCTCAATGTCGCCAGCAGGTCATGATCCCCCGCAGAGCTGCGAACTGATTCCGAGAAGTCGTTTCATCGCGGCCTCTGTCTCTGTCGCACTCGTTAAGGCTGTCGCGCGCAGAGCGAGGGGTGAGAGAGAGAGAGAACGACTCTTCGGCGGGCAAGCGCCCATAGCGGGGAGGCCATGCGGGCGACTAAGTGCACGTGCGCGCAATTCGTACCCGCCCCGCCCCGCCCCACCCCACCCCGCCCCGCCCCGCCCCGCCCCGCCCCGCCCCGCCTTGCCATAGTTCCCCCCTTGGCCGCGCGGCGCACTGCAGTCCAGCCCCCTCCGGTCCAGCTGGAGCAGCCCGTGCGTGTCGTGGCGTATTCCTGTGGAAACAATTATAAACTCGGCGGAGGCTGGCCGCCGCCGGCCGCCGGCGCGAACAGGGTGGCGGCACTGCTGACGGGGCACTCCCCGTGCCCGGGGGACGTCCTGCGGACCGATTCCGAGAGTCGTTTTCGTCGCTCTGTCTCTCTCGCGCCAATACGGCAAGCACCATGGGTGCGGGAGACACAGCGACGAAAACGAGTCTCGGAATCAGTCTGGTGGCTTGCCCTCCCTCCCCTCTTCCTCCTCGATGAGGAGTGGAGGCACACGATAGGGGAGCTTTATGGACTAGAATCTCGCTGCCCCCGCCCCCTCCCCCTCCCCAACCCCTTGGCTCCACGACCCCGCTGACGCCATCCGCCATCCCGCCGCCTCAGCCGACGGCCGCGGCGCGGCTTTGCACAAAGTTTCCCTGTCCGCTTATCTGGATGCTGACGCGGCGGACGAGAAGACGGACAGACAGACTGAAAGACAGACAGGTGAACGAACAGACAGACAGGTGGACAGACAGACAGACCGACAGACGGACAGACAGACAGACAGACAGGTTTCCCCGGTGACGAGGCGACGAAGTGTCGAAGTGACGCGTCGCGTGACATCGATTGGGGGCGGCGGTGCAGGGCAAGCGGACGGCTAGACGGACGGACGGACAGACAGGCGGTCCCGGCTCCGTGGGGCAGTGCCGGTTAGCAGTGCAGGGCTCAGTCTCTCTCCGCCCCCGGACCGCCCCGGACCCAGCCCGAGCCGCTGCCGGGAGAGCTGGCGAGAGGGCATCGGGGCGCGCAGCGGGACGCGACGCGGCCGCAGCCCAGTAGGCCAGAAGACCGGTGGAGGCGGCCAAAACTCTAGACGCGTTTTTAGCTGTAGAGTCGCTAATTGGGACTCGAACCGAACGTGAGACCCCGCCAATGGATTGCTCTCTGAACGAGGTGGGGTCACACGTTCGGTTCGAGTCCTGTTTAGCGACTCTGGAGCTCAAAACGCGTCTACACAGTTTTGGCCGCCTGCGCCGGCCTTCTGGCCCACTGCGCGCAGGGAGGCAGGGATGGTGCAGTGTACCGGCAGTGCGTTGGCGGCGTTGGCGCCGTTGGCGGCCCGGTACCGCGGTCGCGTGGCCGCGGCGTGTGCGCACCGCGTGGCGGCCGCCGCCCGCCTCCTCGTGCTCGTCGGCCTCGGCGGGCACCGCGTGGACGCGGCGCAGCGCGCGGCGGCGCGGCGCGTCGCGTCGTGGTGGCGTGCTTCGGGCTGGACGCGCCGCGCCGCGCGCTGTCCCGCCAGGGCAACAAGTAAGCCAGGAGGAAGCCGGCCCGCAGTGGGCCAGAAGACCGGCGCCGGCGGCAATGGGGGTTTTGCCCCCCCCCCATAACCCCTAGATAGCCGCCTGAAAGGCAGGCAAAAAGTGCTACTCCCCCCCCCATAGGCCGCCCCAGTATCCGCCACTGATGCATGCTGCAAATGCACATGGTTCAGTTTGTAAATTATTTTTTTCGCGTTAAAACGAAATAAAATCGTACAACCATACATTTAAATAAACAAACATTCTAATGAGTATCATCTGCTTTCACGTCAGCGGCAGCGTGAACGTTTTTTTTTGTTTTTTTTTTACTGACGGCCCCGGAAGCGGATCAACACCCAGGCGGTGAAGAAGGGGCGGGGTGATCCGAATCAGCCAGCAGTGCTGCCTTACGGTGCAGGGGTGGGCAATGCCATTAAGCTTTATTGACAGCGCTAATAGGCAAGGCCGACGCCCAATCCCTTACTGTGTGCACTCCGAAAAGAACCCGCAAAAATGATCCAAACGATATCGTTTAAGTCATTTAAGTCAAAAGTTTCGTTGAAACCTTTTCATCCATTTTGAGCTGCTGTTCCTTTCCGCGTTACAGCTGTTGCAGTACACTGTTCCTTTCCCTGTTGCAGTACACGCTGCTGACCGAGCTCCGGGAGGTGGTGGTGCCGGAGGACAGGGCTCGCTTCGACGAGCTGGTGTACCGCCGTGAGGTGGAGAGCCGCCGCATCCGGGACATCACCAGGGTGAGTTGAGCAGAGCATGGACGTGAAGTACGCCCCTGTACGCTCCCGACGCGCCCGCCCCTACGCTCCCACCCTGTGACGCTCGCTGTTGTCGTAAAGGACCTCGTGGTGATGGCGGGAACCGGGCAACGACGGTACTCGAACGAACTCTTACTTCGGTCCGGCGTGTCCGGCACTGGTCGTTTTAGTTTTGATGCCTTTTTCATGACGCTTCCCTCGTCGTGTCGGGTCTGCGAGGTCTCGGACGAGTACAAGCACGTTCCTCATAAAACAGACATAACATTTCTCCATAAATTATGGTTAAAGTAGTTGTCAAAACATTTATTGTATTCAAGTCAATTTTGTCTTTTTTTTTCAAAATTTACAAACTCTAATGGTATTAATGGATTCTCTCTTGCTGCTGTGTTATGGCCCAGTCTGAGTATCGTCTTTCCAGGTTCCCGCCCCATGAGACACTCTCCTTGCACGAGACGCAACGACATGCATGTTTTGTTGCTTTATCGTCTTCGTCTGTGTTGTTGTTTGTTGGTTGTTTTTGTGGTTCGTTTGTTGGTTGTTTTCCTGCATGAGTATCGGGAATGTTTGCTTGGACGGTATACCTTTGGCATCGGTTGGCATGCACCCTCCACCGCTCCCCGAAAAATAACAAAAACAAAACGATTATTTCACATTTAAAGCATATAACCTCGCATGAAAAACTTATAACAAAAGTCAAACCAATTTTCTTCGTTGGACTCCTAGGAGCCCAGACTCCTCGAAGCATCGAGCTCGATGGTTGAAGCTCGCGGCTGAGGAAGTAAACCTAGAGAGACTAAACCTAGAGAGAATATCATCCACGTTTTGTCATAGAGTGACAACAAATTTTCACAGTGTGGGGTCAGACGCTTTCATTGGATAGTTCTGGCGAGCGAGCGCTGTGATTGGCTGGCTCAGCCAAAGGCTCCCGTCACAGACGGTGCCGCTCGGCGCAGCCCGGCTGTGCCCGGCCAGCCGAAGCCTTGCTGCGCCCGCACCCCGCTCCCGGCCGGCCTGGCTCGCCGGTGCAGCAGGAAGCCCTCCAAAACATCCCCCCGTCCCGAAAAGAAAAGAAAACCAAGAGCTAAAGACCCGCGCTCGCCGGCGGCGCCGGGTGAACGCCAGACGAAGCGACTGGCACGCCCGGTACAGGTGGGGGCAACCCGTACAGGTGTGAGAGAGACAGAGCGACGAAAGCGACTGTCGGAATCATTCTTCAGAGACTCCCCCCTTAGACTCCGCGGCGGTCTTGATGGCACTCCGCGCCACTCGAAATCACGTCTCCGGGACGGAGAATAGACAGCAGTCGTTTTCGTCGCTCTGTCTCTCTCGCCCCTAAGAGACGCCTCATGAGTGCGAGAGAGACAGAGCGACGAAAACGACTCTCGGAATCAGTCCGCAAGCCGCCCGACACTGTGAGAAAAAAGTACGGAAAAAGTACGGAACATGTCTGGTCAATAATTTGCCTGGACCGTCCGTACTTATCAACTACGGAACGTTCCGTGCTCTTTTTCCGTACCCATTTACATGGGTTCATATGGAGCAAGTACGGAACGTTCCGTACTTTTCTCCGTACCTCCGTACTATATTTTTCAGTACCATTTCCGTACAAAAGTACGGAATTTTTACAGTGGAGCGGAGCGCGTCTCTGTGCTTTCGTTGCTCGCCTCGGATTGGTTTCACTGACATGAGAGTTTGTCGTGCCTGAAGTGGGAAAGGACAACCCCCCCCCCCCCCACCAAAGGGAGCGGAAGCAGAGGGAGGGGCTGCACAATAAACCAGAGGCGCTGTTTGAGCGACACAGCGACACAGCGCGGCCCTCGTGTCGCAAAAAAGGAGCCGCTAGAGACAAGATCGCAGTGTTGGCGAGAAACATTCGAAAGCAACCAAACAACCACCGTTACAAAAACCTTGGAAATCTCGGGAGAAGTTCTGATAAAAAAAAAAGATTTAAACATTTCCTCCGATCTTTGGAAAATTCGAAAACTCTAAATGTTTCTATTTTGCCTGAGTTCCCGTCAGATACTGTAGTATCAAAAAGTCCTCCTGCACTGGGAGTGGCAGTGCAGGGGCAGGCCGCGCCGGGTGGATAGGCAACCCAACCGCCAGCCGGAGTGGCTGGGCGGCGGGTGGGCCCGGCGCACAGTAGGCCAGAAGACCCGGTGGAGGCGGTCAAAATCCCAGACGCGTTTGTGCTCCACACTGCGAAAAAAACACAGTGAATCCCGTTAATTTTTTGCCGGGATTTACTGTAGTTCAGAACACAGGATTTGGTTCGAGTCCTGTTTAGCGACTCCGGAGCTCAAAACGCGTCTAGAGTTTTGACCGGCTCCGCCCGCGCCCACTGTGCGGCGCGCCGGACTGGCCCCTTGTTGATGTTTTTCTTGTTGTTGTTTGTCGTCTGCTCGGGGCCGCCAAAGCGCGCCGTTTTTTGCTTTGTTGTTCCGGGAGTTTGGCAGCGCGTCGTCGTGGTCTGGACGGAAGTCTCTGAGGACAGGCGCTCTCGGTTGGCGCGCCTGGCGCGGACAAGTGGCCGAGTTGTCCGTCTAGTCGGTCTCCGCTTTTGTTTTTGTTTGTTTTACTTTCTGCATGACGGAATGATGAAATGATGAGCATGGTAAAGAGCTTGATCGAGTAGAGTCTCGTCCACTGTAACGTCGACGCCGTCCGCATGCATAGCAGACTGATAGTCGCCTTCGTCGCTCTGTCTCTCTCGCCATCTTGAGTGCGAGACAGGGCGATCACGACTTTCGGGAAGACTGTGCACAGTGGGCCAGAAGACCGGCGCCGCCGGCCAAAACTCCAGACCCGTTTCCAGAGTCGCTAAAAAGTACTCGCACCGAATGTGTGACCCTACCAATCGATTCCTCATTCAGAGAGCAATCCATTGGTGGGGTCACACGTTCGGTTCGAGTCCCATTTGCCGACCCTGGAGCTCAAAACGCGTCCGGGATTTTGACCGCCTCCACCGGTCTTCTGGCCCACTGCGCGGCGCCGCTGCGCCATCACCGAGGCGGAGCACAGCATGGCGTCGTCCGCCAACACACTCGTAGTTACAGCAACGATACCAACACACCAAACACACGAGCGTAAACCGCCCAAAGGTACCGCCTTCTTCGCAAGAAGAGGTTCCCCCAACTTATTTTCCCACCTTTTCGGGCTGAGAATGGATTCATTTGGGTCGTTCTGCTGGGGGCGTTGCGATGCGTCGCGCTTCACGGCACGACTTCCGTCCGCTCCGTTAGTTTTTCGCAGAGCCGCGCGCTACTTAAATTTTGAAAAATGGTGAGCGGAACAGAGGCACCCCGGCATATTTTTCTCTGGTCCAATTAACCTGAAATAGAACAAGTCTGTTTATTTTGACTAGATTGTTGTAATAACGAGGTTTGGTTAGTCTCTCTCTTTCCAAAACGTAGCGTATCAATGCGTGATCCTTTTTCCGAAACTTGACGTGAATGATGGGGCTGACTTTACAACTTTTGGAGGTTTTTTTTTTAAATCGTCGTTTCTCTCTGGGACTTCCGCGTCGCACAAAACGCCTGCATCGAACGAACCGGCTGCGACGGCTAACATTGCATAGCTAGCCACAAAAATAAACTTATCCGCTTTTGGCACCTTTTTTTTCCTCTCCTTCGACTGCCGTATGACGCTTGCAAACTTTTTCTAGGCGCCCTTTCTCTCACTAGACGCATGCGCCCTCCCCCCCCCCCTCCCCCTCCCCGCTGTTGCCTTTGCTGACTCGGCGCGCATGTCCTGCAGCCGGACAGCCTGGGCGGCGCGATGTGCTGCGACGTGGACCTGCTCGAGTTCAAGACCCCCCTGAGCGAGGACTCGGGGCTCGGCCTGGGCGCCGACTACCCAAGGTGAGGCTTGGCGACGATACCCCCCGCCTGCAGTGCCGTGCCAGTGGGCCCCACGCGGAGTAGTGACGGGCCCTTCCGTTTTGTGTCCGGCAGGTCGGGCCGCGGCTTCCCGGCCTCCCCCATGCCCTCCTCGCGCGTCCCGCACCGCACGTCGGACCTAGCGCTCTCCGAAGAGGACATGGCCATGATGCATCAGGTACAGCAGCAGTCGTAAGCCGCAAGCCGCCTGTAGTCGCTAAAGCCTAAAAAGCGCTGTAGGCAGTGTAGCGTCCAAGACGGCCGCCGCTGCTCCAAGTAGGCCTTGCTTTCGGTGTCGCGACGCGCGGACGGGCAGCAGGTCGGGCGGTGTGAGTTGAGCCGCCCTTCCGTCAGTGTGTTCTTGTTCGAAATAAACGATCTCTGTCCACCTCTGCCACACTCTTGCTCCTGTCACACACACACAAACACACAAACACACACACTTACACAACTGTGTCACTGAATGGTTGGCCAGCGTATCGTAGTGGCGACCGACGGTCATTAGGTTTACAGTCATAGACGACGACCTCCTTTTGTTCTAGATTCCTTTTTCTGTTGAGCATGAAACACTCTAGCGGAGTTTGATGAGTTCTGTGTTGTTTTTTCCGGTGTTGTGTACCCTTCCCCGCGTGTTTGTGTGTTTGAGTTCAAAAAACCTGCGACTACTTGTTGTTGCATGCGCTGCCCCGACCGCCTCCCCTCCCATCCGAAACGCAAAAAAAAAAAAAAAAAAAAAAAAAAAAAAAAAGCGTTGCTTCCTCCTTGAGTGGCCGTTCCTTACTGTTTTCCTCCAATAATTAAATTGTAAAATATACTAAAACGACAACAAAGGTATAACTCCAGCAGCCAATAAATTCCCGCCAGGGATTTTTTTCGTGTTTTTCTTTGTTTTTTTTTCTTTGGTTTCTTTTGTTTTTACACAGCAGGAGCTCTAAACCTCCATTTAACTTCTTAAAGAAAAAAATGGGACAGAAAAATGAAACATTTTGGGCAAATTTATGGCGGCTGCCAGACACATACCGATTGATTGTCCGTTCTCGCGCCGCGGGTCGCAGAGCTTTGATGAAGCAAACTTGCACCTTTTCTCCAGGATTACGGCAGTCTGGACGGAGAAAAGTTGCGCGGCCGAAGACATTCGAGCCCCGAAAACTCCCTCTCCGGTTCCATCACCAGGCTGCAGGATGACAGCTTCGACGACTCTCGAATGGTAAGTAGACTGTCAACAGGGTTCTTTTTCTTTCGTGGTTTTCCAAAGATTTTACTTTTCATTTCCCGATTTTTAAAAAAGATATTTTATTTCTTCTTTTGTGGGAGTATGAGCAGAATATTTAAAGCCGCATATGGAGTGACAGTATGTGGAACGTAAACTAGATACAATAATGCGCGCCCTATGAGGCGTCTAGAGAGAAATACAAAAGTAAATCTAAAACTATAAATACACGACAGCAAAGTCTTCATGGGGAGCTCGCAGCCATCACACTTTAAAACGTTCTCTTTCCAAAACGACGTCGAACCGACATGAGTCAGTCACTAGTTTCCTGCCGAGGGGCTGTCCTTTCGTCACTCCGCTCACTGACATTCCTTCGACACCTTTTGATACATAGACGGTCCTATTTACAACTTAAAAACTAAGAGCACAGCCTGTTTCTTTTTTTTTTAATCTTCGTTGATTTGCTGAGCCGCTCATAGTTTGTCCTGTATGGCGCGGCGCAGGTCCTCGGTGGCCTTGCCCAGGGCGGCCAGGTCGAGGGGCCCGCGCTTGGTCTTGTCCTCCTCGCAGTAGTCCTTGGGGGGCTCGGCGGGGCAGCGCGACCCGAACTTGGGCCGGGGGATCCGAACGCGCTTCACGTCCGTCAGCCAGGACTCCATGCCGCGGACCTGCAAACACAGGATGGTCAGAAGGGGCTGAGAAGACGAATACAAGGGACGTCAGTCAAAAGGGGCCAAAACACGACAAAATAGAACGTTAGTCAGGAGGGGCCGAAAAAGCATGGGACGTTGGTCAGAAGGGGCCAAAACACTCGACAAAATGGGACGTCAGTCAGATGGGGCTGAAAAAACACAACAAAATGGGACGTTGTTCAGAAGGGGCCGAAAAAAAACAGAACAAAATGGGAAGTAGGCTAGAATTGGCTGAAAGATAAAACCAAAAAAAAAGAGCGGCTGAAAGGGCTTTTCGCTGGGCCAAGCTGCGCTGCAAATCGGTAGGAGAATTACAGTGGCGGCGCGATAGCGCCCAGCAGATACCCATTCCGAGTATAACTCTCGTCGGTCGGTCTCTCTCGCACTCGTGGGGCGCCCCGTCGGGGTGCGAGAGAGACAGCAGAGCGACGAAAGCACTTCGCAATCGGCCCGCTGCCGCTCGGATTATGGTGTCTGGTGGAAAAGTCACGATGCCGATTTGGCTGCGACGTGTTGTTGTTGTTGTTGACTCGGCAATTAGTACCTCCCCGTGATGCCCCGTGCTGGCCAGAAAGTCTCTCTCTCTCTCTTTCTCTCTCTCTCTCTCTCTCTCTCTCTCTCTCTCTCTCTCTCTCTCTCTCTCTCTCTCTCTCTCCACCCTCCCCCCCGCCCCTCTCCCTTCTGGGCCACATAAGGCAGAATGTCGACACCAAAAATCTTTAAAAAGTGTCGGAAAAAGTTGTTGCGTCGGCCAAACATCCCAGTGTTGGCGAATCGGAAGCTAGTTCTGCGTGCGTGAGTCCGGCTCGTGCGTGTGTGTAGTGCGTGTGTGTGTGTGTGTGTGTGTGTGTGCGTGTGCGTGTGTGTGCGTGCGTGCGCCCGGCGAGCGTGCATGAGCGACGCTTCCGCATTTCCTGGGTCGGCTCGACGCATCCTTATTACAGTTTGGTTCGGCTCGGCTGCTCCCATAATGCGGCCGGCCCTCCCGCCAGCGGTGCGTGTGCGTGCGTGTGTGTGTGTGTGAGTGCGGTGCTCGCCCACGCCGTCTTGATGCTGACTCAGCCACGGGCCGTCGTTGTCCGGGATCGCTCGCCGCTTGTGTGTTTCGGGGCGTTTGAACCGTTTCATGGAACTGACCGTAACTTGGAACTGACCATTCGCTGTACACTATCCTGTACACTCATAATTTATTGCACCACATAGATGTTTTTGTCGGACAGTAAATATTTTGGAAGTTGGCCCTCCCGGAGCCTCGTTAGCGTTCGGCGGCCCGCGGAGCAAGACGACCCGCGGCGGTCCACTGCCAAAAATGATCCGCAAAAAAAATAAGTGATTCCAAAAACGAGGGGAAAACTGGAAAGGACAAAAAAGGTAGCCGTTTGCTGTCGCGCTGTGGAGCAACCCAGCCACCTGGAGCCGGGCGAGCGACGCGAGCGACGCGATGGCATTGGGGGTCGCGATTTGGAGAGCCGGGCGGCGTTATCTCTCGGCAGTGAGACGCGTTGTGACAGACAGTGGGCCAGAACACCGGCGCTGGCGGCCAAAGCCGCGTTTTGAGCTCCAGAGTCGCTAGATGAGACTCGAGTCATACGCTCGGTTCGAGTCCCACTTAGCGACTCTGGAGCTCAAAACGCGTCCGGGATTTTTACCGCCTCCACCGGTCTTCCCACGAGTACGATAGAGTCACAGCACACACAATATGGAATTATTTTCAAACATGCGGGGAAATTCACTTGTCGCGAGTGACTTACTTCGATTTTAGAAACGACTTTTCTGGGGGCAACGTTCGAGGTCACCCTACTGGGGTTCGGCGACTGGTCTACTTGCTGTGCGTTGCGCTCGGGATCCCTCGGTCCCTAGCCTACAGTGCCGTGGCCGCGTCATCCACAACGTCGTCGCTCCGCGGCCGGCTCGGCTCGGCTCGGCTCGGCTCGGCCCGGTCGGGCCCTGTGCAGGCGTGGATGCGCCTTGACGAGCCGAGCGAATAGTGTTTATCGCATCCGATCACTCCGGTGCTACTCCCTCGGCTCGGCCGCGGCGGCGCGGAAGGGGGGAGGGGGAGGGGGGACGTAAACGGGTTCTCGCTTTGTGGGTGGCCGCGCCGCGCAGAGCGGGCCTCGACAGGAAGGTCCAAGAGGCGCACAATTTGGCCGATGTGAGCCGTCGACGTCGGGCTAAAGTGGTGGCGTTGGTGGTGATTGCGATGGTTGTAGTGGTGGTGATGGTGTACTTGAGGATTACGGTGGTGGTGATGGTGGTAGTGTTGACGATGGTGATGTCGATGAGGTGATGGTGTCCGCGGTGGCCCGAACTGCATCCCGATACCCACACGAGCCGATACGGGGGCTTTGCGCGTGGCAGATTGGAAAAAAAAGAGAGAAGGAAAACGGA